CAGCTGATACTGTTGTTGTCGCTTCAATAGTCTGTTCTTGTGTTATTGATTCTGTCGTTGCACTCGTTGTGATTGAGACAGGTGAACTTGTTATTTCTACAGTTGCAGCTGATACTGTTGTTGTCGCTTCAATAGTCTGTTCTTGTGTTATTGATTCTGTCGTTGTACTCGCTGTGATCGAGACAGGTGAACTTGTTATTTCTACAGTTGCAGCTGATACTGTTGTTGTCGCTTCAATAGTCTGTTCTTGTGTTATTGACTCTGTCGTTGTACTCGAGGATAAAGTGTTAGTGACTATTGAACTTGTACTTAAGAATGTTTCTGATGTCATACTTTCTGAAGTTAGTACACTTTCAGTTGAAAGACTTGTTGTAGTTATTGATTCTGTTTCTGTACCGCCTGTTTCAGTAGTTATAGTGACGGGAGTGAATGTCGAATAACTGGTAGAGAGTTCGCTCTCTGTTATAGTCGATGTTGTTAATGTGACTGAAGCTTGTATCGTACTAATTGTACTAGTCGGAGCAATACTTGATAATGTTGAAATAGTGATGGATGTTGGTAAATAAATTGTTGTTGCTTGAACTAAATTTCGACAGTATTGTCCTTCATAATTGGGGTTGCATACACAACCATTATTATCACTAGTACAATTTCCTGTAAAAGCAAATTCACATTCTTTACATGCTGGTGTGAATGTTGTAAAATTTACTATAAGGAAAAAGAAAAAGGTTACATTTATTAACCTTTTATCATTTTTGAAGAAAATTACTTACAAAGTTCTCCAGTTCTATCATTCATAATTATTCTTACAGTCAATCTATAACTATCATTTAAACTAACATTATTCGCAAAAAAACCATTCACAAGTTCTATACGTTCCGGAATATCGAGTGGTACATTTAATTGAACCAAATATTCAACATCAGGAGGTACTACACTGTAATATTAAATAACAAAATAATCATAAAGAATATTATGTTTTTTCTTCAATGAGAGAAAATTTACCTAGTTTGGCTCACTCGTATACATGTATCGTTACAAGTTATATTCATTCCAAATAAAATGTTAGCTACCTAAAATCAAGTATCAATCATATAAATGTCAGTAGAAAATTATAATAAATGAATTATTTTTACTTCATTTTCAATAGTAGATGATCGTGGTGAGTCAATAGGAATCGCTCGACGAAATCGTGAACCGGAAGATATATAGTTAAAATAAAGAAAAAATGATGTAGGATTTTCAGGACTTTCAGTTGTTATTTCAGTAGAGCTTGCTGTAATTGTAGATTCAGTAAAAGTACCAGTTTCAGTTGTTGTTGCCGTTGATGATGTTTCGGATTCTGTTTCTGTAGCTAAGCTTGTTCTTTCAGTGCTTTCCAAGGTTTGAGCAGAACTCTCAGAGCTTAATGTAGTCGATGATGATGATGAACTTGTTTCGGATGTCAAAATCGCTTCAGTTACTAGCTCAGTTGAAAGAGTAGCCGAGCTGCTAGTCTCAGTAATAGTAATCGTAGATAATGTTGATGATGATGAAGTCATTTCAGATTCAGACACTGAATATATTCCAGTGGTTTCAGTCGTCTCTGTTGATGAAATACTTTCGGTAACGGTTTGAACAGTTAGAGTAGTCGATTCTGTAGTGGATTCTGAAGTCTCCACTGACGATTGACTGACTGTACTCGATGGATATACAGTTGATGATTCTGTACTTAATGTAGATTCCGATTCAGACGTAGACATTGTTTCCATTCCTTCGGTAGTTGTAATCGATAAAGATGTTTCACTTGTGCTTTGAACAGGAGTAGTTGAAGTTATACTGGATTCTATTTCGGAAATAGTTGCTAAAGTAAAAAAGAAACGTTATGTTGAAAATACTACGTTTGAGATAATTCAGGATCTGAAAAAAAGTCCATCTTTATTATTGAATAGTTTCTAAACAGAATGTTCATTTCATTAGTTTATGCTAAAATATATTACTTGTTTCAATAGAAACAGTTGCTGCCTCCGTTTCAGTTGGTGCTTGAGTGGTTATTTCTGAAATACTTGCAGCAGATACAGACATTGTTTCCAGTGAGGATATTTCGGTAGTACTTTCCGAAATACTTGAAACAGTTCCAGTTTCCGAAGATGTTATAGTAGAACTTTCAGTTGACGATAAAGTTACCAATGCCTCTGTTGGACTAACCGATTCTGTCTCTAAAAAAAACAAGAAAGTTACATACTGGAATAAAAATGTCTTATGAGAAATTTTTAAAATATATGTAAAACGAAAATTGAGTAAATTTATATATTTATGAATGGAAACTTCTAACCTGTTTCTCCTGTTGTCGATTGTTCTTGACTTGTTTCTGTTGAAGAGATTTGACTGATAGTAGTTCCTTCGGTCGAAATAACTGTTTGCGATTCAGTAGTGGATTCAGTCAATATTTCAGATGTTGCTGCAGTTTCTGTTTCAGTTACAGGGGTTGTTTCTATTGAAGAGACTTCACCAGTAGATCCTTCAGTGATGGTGACTATTTGCTGTTCAGTAGTCGATTCAGTCACCATTTCGGATGTTGCTGCAGTTTCGGTTTCAGTTACAGGAGTTGTTTCTGTTGAAGAGACTTCACCGATAGTAGGCCCTTCGGTTGAAATAACTGTCTGAGATTCAGTACTGGATTCAGTCACTATTTCAGATGTTGCTGCAGTTTCTGTTTCAGTTACAGGACTTGTTTCTGTTGAAGAAACTTGACCGATAGTAGGCCCTTCGGTTGAAATAACTGTTTGCGATTCAGTAGTGGATTCAGTCACTATTTCAGATGTTGCTGCAGTTTCTGTTTCAGTTACAGGACTTGTTTCTGTTGAAGAAACTTCACCAGTAGATCCTTCAGTGATGGTGACTATTTGTTGTTCAGTAGTAGATTCAGTCACCATTTCGGATGTTGCTGCTGTTTCTGTTTCAGTTACAGGACTTATTTCTGTTGAAGAAACTTGAACGATAGTAGGTCCTTCGGTCGAAATAACTGTCTGAGATTCAGTAGTTGATTCAGTTACTATTTCAGATGTTGCTGCAGTTTCTGTTTCGGTGACAGGACTTGTTTCTGTGGAAGAGACTTCACCAGTAGATCCTTCGGTTACGATGACTATTTGTTGTTCAGTAGTCGATTCAGTCACCATTTCGGATGTTGCTGCAGTTTCTGTTTCAGTTACAGGACTTATTTCTGTTGAAGAAACTTGACCGATAGTAGGCCCTTCGGTCGAAATAACTGTCTGAGATTCAGTAGTTGATTCAGTCACTATTTCAGATGTTGCTGCAGTTTCTGTTTCAGTTACAGGACTTGTTTCTGTTGAAGAAGCTTCACCAGTAGATCCTTCGGTTACGGTGACTATTTGTTGTTCAGTAGTCGATTCAGTCACCATTTCAGATGTTACTGCAGTTTCTGTTTCAATTACAGAAGTTGTTTCTGTTGAAGAGACTTCACCAGTAGATCCTTCGGTTACGGTGACTATTTGTTGTTCAGTAGTCGATTCAGTCACCATTTCAGATGTTGCTGCTGTTTCTGTTGCAGTTACAGGACTTATTTCTGTTGAAGAAACTTGACCGATAGTAGGCCCTTCGGTTGAAATAACTGTCTGAGATTCAGTAGTTGATTCAGTTACCATTTCAGATGTTGTTGCAGTTTCTGTTTCAATTACAGGACTTGTTTCTGTTGAAGAAACTTGGCCGATAGTAGGCCCTTCGGTCGAAATAACTGTCTGAGATTCAGTAGTAGATTCAGTCACAATTTCGGATGTTGCTGCTGTTTCTGTTTCAGTTACAGGACTTATTTCTGTTGAAGAAACTTGAACGATAGTAGGCCCTTCGGTTGAAATAACTGTCTGCGATTCAGTAGTTGATTCAGTGACTATTTCAGATGTTGCTGCAGTTTCTGTTTCAGTTACAGGAGTTGTTTCTGTTGAAGAGACTTCACCAGTTGATCCTTCGGTTACGGTTACTATTTGTTGTTCAGTAGTTGATTCAGTTACCATTTCAGATGTTGTTGCAGTTTCTGTTTCAATTACAGGGCTTGTTTCTATAAGAAATTGAAGATAATTTTTAGCAATGAAAAAAACACAGTTATGACATTCGGATATTATCAAAATTTTTTTAAATAGATTAGTTCATATTGTGCTGTTTATTCTTATAATAAATATTAGATATTTTATTTTTATTGTTTAACTAATATATAATCAAAATTTGCGAATTCTTTATTAATGTATAAAGAACAGAAAATATGTTTGTTTTTACCTGTAACAACAGTTTCGGTTACATTTTCTGTAACAGCTGATGATGTAATAGGTGTTGCTGTATCTGTGAGAATCGCTAAAATAAAGATTCATTTGCTGTTATTCATATTGAAAAATCAAATGAAAAAGTAATTCATTATATGTAGGAATTAAGCACAGGAACTTACTTTCTTCTGTTTGTATACTTTGGAATGAAGTTATTGTAGCAGTCTCTGATGATACGGAAGTGAATGATGTTTGCTCAGTACCAATACTAGTGTATTCTCCTTCAGTACTATAAGATTCTATTATTGAATAGGGAGTAGTTTCAATTGTAGTCAGTTCAATAGTTGTCGGTGCAACTGGTGTAGATTCTGTCGCCTCTGTTCCTGATGTAGCTAAAAGTAATCAAAGTAAAACAACATTATTTTTTCCTTGAGAGTCTTTTAACAAGATTAATGTTATTGACAAGTGCCTGTATTGTTCTTTACTTTATAAAAAAAAATTAAAACCTATTCAAATGTTAGATAAAACCTATCATAAGATATAGCTGAGTAACTAAAAAAAAATTCTTGATTTTTTCTTTTTTTATTGCAAAAGAAAAGCAATAAATTTATTTTATTAAATGAATAAGTAATGTAATAACTTACTTTCAGGTTCGTTTCCACTACCATCCAAAACAGTTGATAAAGATAAAACACGAGCCCATAAATTTGAATCTGCATCATTCATAATTGGTTCATTATCGGCGGCATTATTTGATAATCCAGGCAATATTTGTTCAGTATTAATTGATGGCAATGAAACAGTAGGTATCGATGAATTTTCCACAACTCCTTCACGTTTATGACGTTCATGTGATGTTTCTTTACTAAGTGATATAGATATACTAGGAGCAATTATGTCAGCACTTGCTACAAGTAAACCTTCAGCTATTGGTTGTGCTTTTTTATTATTAGTATCAAGTGGAGGTTGAAAACGTGTATCTGTGTAATCATTATTATCATTCGATGTTAATTCCCGTATTGTTCCCGTTAAGTCTGAGTAAAAATGTTGGTTATATGCATTTGACCAATCTTCACTTTTTGAATTGGAACCTAATGTAATATGATATTTAGTTTGTCTTAGATTTAAATATGAAATTAAGTCTTTTCCGTTCAAAAAGCCTAGATCAATGATAAAATACCAGAATTGCTATCATTGGTATGAAAAAAAAAGTTTTTTTTTGTTTGATATATTCAAAATACTATTATATATAACTTTAATTGAACGTTATCGTATGCCTATGTAGTTAAATACAATAGAAATATGTATTTTTAATAAAACTGCTGTGAGAACATACTTAATTTTATACATATATAATTATATATATATATATATACATAAATATATAATTTAAAATTCTATAACGCCTTATTATATATCTATGTACTTATAAAAGACATTACTTTCTTTTTCTTTTTTTTTTACCTTTGACAGTATCTGTTAAAAATGTTATCGTAATCAAAGGTATAAGACAAGCGGCTGCCAGCAGCCGTATCGAATTTATTGTATGTTGTAATATCATGATCTGACCACAATCTAAAATAATTGATCATAATATATGAAAAACTGATTTGATGATAAAGAATAAAGAAAAAGAAACCGAAACTGAATGATTACTTTGTATATATGACACACAAAATTTCGAAACGAATAAAAGAACAATGAAAAAACAAACGAAAAAAAATACAGAGAAGAGAGAAAAAAAAAGAAGCAAAGAGAGAAAAAAAAGATTGAATGAAACGAAAACTGAGTCTATGAAATTGCTGCCTGAATTAAAGATGAAAGTAAGAAGGCGAATGAGAGAGGGAAAAAGAAGAAAAAAAAATTTCTTCTTTCGACGACGACTGTTTCTCTTTTGCGATTTGATTTATACACAAGAGCATACTTTCATGTTTATACGTGAGTTTGTGAATGCTATCACATCGGCACACTTCTGTCAGCATCGACTGCTCTGTTTATCAAGCCCGGAGCAAAAAAAAGGCTCTTGAAAACTACTTGTGCCATTAAAGTAAAGGATTCTATTCGTCGTCGTTCTCCTTCTTCTCTTCAGTATATGATCCCTAAAACAAAAGCTTGAAAGAGAAAGAGAGAGAGAAAGACAGAGAGAGAAGGAACCAGCAAAAAAAAAAAGTGTCTCTTAACACCGTCCTTATAGATGTACATTGATGCGAAAATAAAATTTAATAATATGTTGTTTTTTCCCACCATTTTTTCGACGACCCATAAATAACACTCATGCTTCCCTTTGGCGAAGAAAAAATTATGCATGACATCCGCCCCCACATCCGTATGATTGTTTGATTTAATTTGAATTTTATTCTACCTTTCTTTTTTTTTGTGCAGAACAAAGTTGACTAATCGATAAATGTGTTAGTTCAAAAATAAACTACAAATAAGAAAGTCATTGTCAACATAATAATAATAATAAAAATAATAGAAACAAAACTTCTAATTGATTTGATTTCATCACTATGTCGGCAAGTTTAATAATCAATTTATGCTGAACTAATATTTCGTAATTTTTTTTTTTCGTCATCTCTCCAATAAGCATATGCTTCCTTTGATGGAAGCCCATATTAAATTCATTTCTCTCATAGAACATCGTTATAGAACGTAAGAGAAGTCTAAAAAGCGTTGAAGATTATTTTAGTTACTCTCTCATTCCTATCAAGTCGATTGAACAATCATCGGTCAGTTTTTTTCTGTTCTCTAACTTTTGTGACATGCAATTGTATCTGCGTACATTTGATTTCAAGTTATATCGCTCATAAGTTGGAAGAAGAACAAAGAATCTACAATATATTATAACACACTATGAAAAAAGAATCGTCGTAAAACTAGGCAATCAAGACACTTGAAAAATAATTTTCAATCAGTTATGAAATAAATAAAAATGTACCAGAGAGAAAAAAAAATAGAAATTGACAAATATATATATATATATATCAATAAAAAATGTTTAGATTGTTTGTATTCATATAACATATATATATATATATATATATATATATATATAATATATATAATCTACGCTCATATTAAGTCAATATACCGTCACGCTTTGACCTTGGGCACCTATAGTGTATCTCAAACATCATGACTTTAGTGGAACAGGACAGCATAAGCAACAAAATCATTGAGATGTTTGCGTTTAACCAATGTGTATGCAAATAAAAAAAAACGAAAAAAAAAACTTGAATCTTGTGTATATAACTATCCATAAGCTTAAACTGTTTTCGTTTTATTCAGAAGATCAACATTCACAACAGTCTGATAGAGTGTGTCGAAACTGAGGACATGAAAATGTTTTTGCTTCTCATACATTCATAATAGAAAGAAATTTTTTTTCTTTTTTTTTAATGCAGAAAAAGGTACAAAAAAATAAGAAACGGAAAGAAAAAAGTAATCAACATAGATGTTTGGAGATGAATACATTCAACAGCAATAACAACAACGAAATTTAATTCTTTTTTTAAAAGTTTCACATATTTTTTATCTTTAAGGCCAAATCATGTAATATGTTAAGATCGTAACTTGATAAAAGTATGACAAAAAAAACTACATAATACACTGTGACAACAATAATCTATTACAAAATCATATGAAATATAATATCTTATTTAGTAAATGACATCCATATTAGTAAACGAAAACCGATTTGATTTTTTTTAATGTTTGCGGTAAATGCGTCTTTCATTTTCTTTTTTTTTTCTTTCTTGTATGAAACAATACAAAGATTTGACCACAAAAACGATAAACTATTTTCTATAAGATTTCTACTTAGACGATATTGAAAAATTTTCATTTAATGTTAAGTGTTCGCTACTGGAGGCAGTAAAAATACTTTCTTTTTTTTTTTAAACGACTAAATGTTTGTAGATGACAAAACAAACATATATGCACAATCAATTTATTGTAAAATTTTGGAAAAAATATCATACAAATGTTGAATAGGAAAGAGATGATTCTTTTTATAGTGATAATTTTTCGAAGAGGAAAAAAAAAAAAAGTAAAATGATCCATTATATATAATTTTCTATATAATAATTATGTCACATTAAATTTATAAATCTATATATCAATAATTTGAATTCTATAGGTCTTTTTGCCATTTAAAAGCAAAATAAATTCGTAAGAAATATGTTTATATCATATAAAACGAAAAAAACATTTTCTTTTTTTTTTTTATTTTTCTGTTTTGATAACTGTTTAAAATAGTCTTCAGGCTCGCATTACTTTATTATATCTTTTTTTTTTCTTCTTTTATTCGTTTCGATTGCATTGGCAAATATATTAAAACAACATTCTGTTATCGGACATACATTTGAATAAATAATATACATAATAGAAGTGAAAGCAACTGAAGAATTCAGAAATATAGAAGTTTAATAATACAAATTGTTGGAGTGATTGAAAAAAAGGGCATGATCAATCGTTTGACTTTCTTTTTTCGTTTGTGTACAATAGAACATTGCTACTATTTATATTTTCATTGCAGACATTTACATCGCCCTTCTCTCTCTCTCTCTCCCGCTCCCCCCCCCCCTCCCCGCTCGACGAAGTACATTCAAACAAATGGACACGACAACAGCATGCAATTAAAAAAGCATGATTATTTTTATTTACATAGAACAAAAATAATAATTCTTCTTTTAAAGTATTTTTTCATCTTTGAATTCAGAGGAATTACAGAAATATTCGATGAATAATTACTGTCTTACAGTGATTTGGTGTCCTATCAATCATTCAATAAAGACGAACAAAGAAATCGAGAAAGAGACATTAATTGAATTTAAAATTAAAGTAAATTCGTTAACAATAATTTCCATATTGAATAGAAATCACTAATAGATACACAGGAGCTAATACAAGTATTCAATAAGATGTTATTTTCTACTGTTGTCAATGTTCGAGAAAATAGTTTCTAACAAGAATATAAAGAAATAATAATAATTATTCGATTTTCAAAGATAGAAAGCTTCAGAAAACGAAATATCTAAAGTGCTTAAATATAATTTTGTTGGTAAACAATTCTTTATAATGTTTTTTAACTGAGATCAACGCTCTTACGACAACCTTCGAGGTTGTTTCGTTTTTTTTTTTACTATTTCATATCGAAAAACTTTTTTTTTACCTTCAATCAAATTGCTGCATCTCAACTGAAACCTATTGAAGAAAACTTGGAGACGTCTCATTTTGAAGAAAATTATTTAGTATGTCGTTCTATATAGTCTGTTTGAGATACTAAAAAACTAGAGTTTGAATTTTTTTGAAGTTCCTATCTTTGAAAATCAGATAATATTTTTATTTCCTTGTATTTTTATGAGCATAAATTTCAGTTACAGTAGCTATCGGTTTTTCTACAAAATGAAATGTTTTCCAGTTGCTACGATGTTTTTCTTTTTTTGCTCGAGATACATTAACCTTATGGAAGGTATAAAAGTCTTTTTTTTTTCCATTATTTCATATGCAAATACTATTTTGTTCTGAGAGAAATTTAAAATACGACTAGGCACACTTCTTTAGTAATGACATTTTCTTTTCTGTATATCGAAATCTAAACGTCTATTCAATACGTTCGAATCAGTCACACTTGAAAGTTGAATTTAATTACTTCCCACATCAAAAAGAAAAAAAATAAGATGAAATCATATAAGATAGCAAAATTTTTCGAGAATGTTGCAATATGACTCAGCGTATGATTTTTGATTTTGTGCAATTTTCATCTAACTAACTTTTAATATTTGCATAGAACAATGCATGAAGAGCTGACTCGTCTCTATGTACACAGTAAAGTCTATTCTTATTTTATGTTTTGACAACACTACTGAAAAGAATGTACATTAAAATGGAACAGGAAAGTTTTGGACCTAAACAATAAACTCCCATATAATTCGTTTTATACTGTCTTTAGGATATGTTGACAAAAAAAAAATAATAAACTATCTCTGAGAGAAATCCAAAATATTGTTAATTCTCAAATCAAGTCATGACGTAGTTGACATTTTCTTTTTGTACATCAAAATCAGTACGTCTTTTCTTCTTACGTTCTTTTCTATATATGTATTTTTGTGCGTCCTTTTCTATACCCACTGAATTAATCATACATGTCAAACTTGAAAATTAAATGCAATTATTGAAGAATAAAAAAAAAATAAAAAAGAAAGTTGCTCGCGTAACCAACCTTTTATATCTGTGTCATGGCGTGGGAGCACTTAGCACGGTCAACCACACTCGTTTCTGTGTAAACAATAAACTTTATCCCTGTTTTATGTTTTGATACTTTTAAAAAGGAAGTAAATCTAAATGAAACAGAAAAATTTGAACATTTTCTACATCGTTTTCGATCGAAACGATACACTGAATTGACTTCTTTTAATATTTTTTTTCCCTTTATGTTGTCACGTAAAATTTCGATGTTTTTATTTTTCTTTAAGAAACTGTATAAAATTTCTTATACGCAATAGAAATGACTATTCAAACATGTTTAATTTCTCAATTTAGACTTTTTTTGCCTAAAATTGTGTTACTACATTTATTCATTAGTAAAATAATTATTTTTAACTTTATTTGTCAGTCGAAGATATTTCAGTTGAAATTGAATAGTTTAACTAAAAATAATTTTGTATGACAGCATGTGATTTTGCAGTTTCATACTTGAATCTTTGATTATGATGAATGATTTTATTTTCAATAGTTATAATAGTGAATCAATTTCTTTGATTTAACAAATACAAAAGAGTCATAATTCTAAAGATTAAATGAATATTGTAGAAATGCATAGTTACAAATCAATATAGAAATAAAGTGAGAAGAAAAACAAGTCAAGATTATCAAATGATTATTGTTTTAATCTGAAAAAAAAGGGATGTTCAGGAAATTCATACTAAGAAGACAATTTTTTTCTATCAAAAAATTTAACTCTCACACTCAAAAGCAAATATGAAATAATATTAAATGTATTCACTGAATCATGTAAAATGAAATAAATTATTAAAAAGAAATTCTTTGTGTATTCAACATTTCGATCATGTTCACATTGTCAATAAGTTTTAACATTAATTCTTCTATCAACATGATGACTAAAGCCCTTACACTATAATAAAATTTTATTTATTTTTCCGCTGTACAGAAAGCATATGTTGACTTCTCGGACAAACTATTGTAATAGTTGCAAATCTAACGCATAACAACATGCGTTATTAAGAGAATATACTCCTGGTCAAGAAATACGGGTCGGAAACGATGTTTTTTTTCTGGCAAGAACCTGCCGAAAATTCACATATCCATGTGTCGAAATCATTGACTTGATATACTGATTTTAAGATATCTATAACTTATATTAATTCTATTGGATCACAGATATGCGCTTTTTTTTTGGTAAACGTCTGCAATTTCCTTCTTGCTTCTGTCTGTTCTAAGTAGCGAGCTGCAGATTCGGGTCCAGTCTTTTATTTTTTTTTTGGGCCCGGTTGCACGTTTTTGTGGTTCCGCTGCTCTCCAGATGAGAAGTACATCAACAAGATATTACTGTACGTTGAGTTTTTCTCTGAGAGTAGCGAATAAATAGCTGAAACCTTGATCCTTTACTTGTTCATGTACACGAAAGGTGCCGAGTATTGATGGAAAAAACCTCGCGTTTGGACTCGAGCGGGTCCGAATCCACAAAAACGTGAACCTGCAGCTTCCTAGTTCTAGGAATGTACCTATTCCAATTCCAATTTTTGACTTGGAATTAATCGGAATTGATCTTGAAAAAAATATCGGAATCAAATTATTAATTTATGTAAATATATGCAAAATAAGTAATTCTACGGCAGTCAATGACAAGTCTAAGAATCGAAAATTGGTCAGAATTTGAATTAATTCATTCCTTGTTTGTTCTTTTTTTTTGTCATCGTTCAATTTTAATCGTGTCAATTAAAAGCTTTACTTTTGAATGATTTTTTTTCCTTTTAATCACAAAACTCTCGACTATGCCAAAACATGATTTTATAAGTAACCATACAAGGAATATCAGGAAAAATGTCTTCTTTAAATATTTATAAAACATCTTTCAATTTTGCAATGTTTCGCAGAGATATAATAATAATTTCTCAAATCCTCCACGATAATATCATGAAACAAATGCACACACAAGTCGCATTAGGGTGTTGACCTTCTCTTCAATAATAATCACATACAACACATTTGGTATTCTTAGATAGTTGTACGACAGGAAAAGATTAGCTAGCTAATCACTGTCTTGCCGTGCGAATAAATAAAAAGAATGTTTGTATGTGTATTCATTGAATACAAAAAGTATCTCGTGTATGTTCAAAGCGAGTATTGAATTCCAATTAGAAAATTTCGTTGAGAATATCACAGTACGGTTCGAAAATTTTGAACTCGACGGATTCTACGGTGTATAGCATTATTATTTTGTTGTTAATTATTTTCTGCACAGAAGACGTGATCGATGTTGGAATATTATGAAAGAAGAGAAACCGGATTCATTCGTTTTATTGTGAACAAGAAAAAAGAAAAGATCAGTTCACGACTTAGGCAAAGAAGATAAAAATATATAGATGTCTATAATGTATAAAATCGAAAAATATCAGTTCTAATCACCAGAAAATGAATGATTTGAAATGTGCAATTAAGATTTTCAATTAAAGAACTAAAATAAATAAATAAATATAGAAATAATAATAATAGTAATAATAATTTATCATACCGAAAAAAAGCCTGATGGTTTTGAATCAATATTTGGTCTTGGTAATTTAACATTTGGATTTACAGCTTCAAGTATTTCATTATCTTCATAAAGATCATCTAATGAATCATGAAATGTTAAATTTAAATCGTCATTATCAATAATTGCATCAAGTTCATCAATTGGATCATTACTACTTATTGTTGATATTGTATCTGGTGGTAAACTTGATAATAGAGCATTTGTATTTGGTCTTGCTATTGTTGCACGTAAATTTTCACCCATTTTTTGATCAAGTTCTTTAAAAAATGTACTATCTGTTATATTACTTTGATTATCATCAGATTCACTTGGATTACTACTACTAGCATCTGTAGGTGTTGTATTATTATACAAAGGATTTTGAACATTATTTTGTGTAGCTGACGTTGGTACTTTAGCTCTTGGTAGATGCCATAAACGAAAGATTCGTAGATCATCTCTAAATAGAAAAAAAAAACAAAAATATTATTGAATAAAAAAAAAAAATTAAACATCTTCTTACTTATGATGCCGTCGACGACGCCAAGCAGCTAGTGCCCAAAGGCAACATGTCGTAGCCAAAAATAGACTAGCTAAACCAGTTACAATACCAATTATAATTGGTGTCCAACGAGAAGGAGAACTAGGTGGTGTTGTTGTTGTTGTTGTTATTAAATCTGGTGGTGGTAAACAACGATCACCAATATAAGGTCTTGATGTATCATTTTCATTAACAAAACATTCACATTTACTTAAACCATTCTCAGGTAAACATACACCACGTGGAGGAATTCCACATAAATGACATAGATTAATAAGAAAACATGATGTAACATTTATAACTGGTACTAAATACAAAAAAAAAAAAGGAGTTAATCAAAATATAAAATATAATTATATTTACCTGTTTCATTGTTACCACATGGATTTAATGCAACTAGTGGAACAGGAATAGATAATGCTATATTATCAAGAAGTTCATATAAATCATTCGATATGGTAATATTATCAGGAATATTAAAATTTAATGTAACATCAGCTGTCGAGTCATTACACCTAAATTAATTTTGAAATATTTCTTTTTAATTTTATACTTTTACATACTCAAGTTCATTATAATTCGGTGATACACTATAAGTATAATGAGAAAGTGTTGCGTTGATTCTTGTCAAAATCTAATATAATTAAAATAATGAGATATCAGAACAATATTGAAAATACAATAACATACATCAAATAATGTATTATTTGCATTTGTACAATTAATTTTCATAATAAACATTGTATTATTAGGAAGAGCTATGAAAAGAATATTCTAAATAAAATTAAAATCGTTAAGTAAAAAAACAAATACTTGGAGGCTCAAATGGAATAGTTGTAGTTGTTGTCGAAGTTGTTGTAGACGTAATTGTACCGGTTGTGACCGACGGACTTGTTATTGGTTCACTAGATTTTATAGTGGACTCTAAAATGGTTGAAATGAATTTTGAGGAAATTATTGAAAATTTCCATAAATTTAATGATACTGATATAAAAGATATTTTAAATAGGTGTATCATATTTTTTGATACGACATGGACGGAACCGAGATTTTTTGGTACCGACAACTTTCTTCAGAACAGTCCCGGTTGTAGTCATGGTCAATATAGTGTGTTCCTGATCCTGGCGAGTTTTTTATCAGTGGCCCCGCACATGTCTGTCTTCTTTCCCGATCCCAAAAATTTACTTTTCTTTTTTATTTTCGATTTTTTTATATCTAAAAAGAGATTCAAGTGTTCTCTATCGAATGGTATACCAACCAAAAGTTTTCATGTTTATGTAGATCTTTAGAAAACTTGACTTCAGAGATCCTCTATACAAAAAATTACATTCTATGTGAGCTGAAACTTTTTGTGTGACAACTAGAATCAAATCGGAGTGTATATGTTTTTTCTTTTCTTAAAATAATGTTCGGGTGGTTTTTAGTAGATCTTACAAAATTTGTTCTAGAGGAAAAAAAAACGTTTTTTGACAGGGCTTCCAGTATTTCAGTTTTCCTAGGCGAAGGAAACAATATGTTTTAAAGAAAAAAAAATATATATATATACCTCGATTTGATCCTAGTTGCTACAAAAACAAATCCAACCATAAAAAATGACTTGTAGCTGTTTGCGAAAGGGAAAACTTCAGGTCATTTTTAGCTCATGCGCTTTCTATATCTCATAGAAGGAAGCATCTGAGAATTCTATGTCTATAACAACTTTTACTCTACTAGTCGAGAAGATATCTACTCTGAAAGTTTCATCATTTTTGATTGAGCCATTCTTGAGAAACCTGAAAAATGGGATGCCCTTAAATAAAACTTTAGCTTATTTAAAATGATTTTCATATTCACAAAAAAAGACTATTTTTTGAAGATGATGAAGCAATGTTCAGTCAACAAATGCAATCAAACGAAGATATATTTTAGTGTTTATAATGATGAAACTGTTTATTTTTTTTATATAGGTGTATATTTTGTTTATTCATTAAAATTTTATATTTGAATAATTCCACCGTATATGTGACATGTTTATACATGACTTTCTCCAAATCGATTTTCATTTTTCAAATCATGTAGAGCGTAGTCGATTTACTTACTATGATAACAAAAGATCCTCTATAAATTGTAATATGGAAGAGATCAGCGATCTCACAAAATTAATGCGAAATATAGCTAATACTATATAAAAACAGTATAAATAATGCTAAAATATCCATTGTCATATATTGCTAATACAGAATTTGGACACATAGCAGGTTTTGTAGAGCGAAATTTGTTCGACACGTCCATATATAACACTTTTTCAGGGGTACTAAACACAGGCCATTTCTGCACGAAACTATTTCTTAATTAATCTGATTATAAGTATATATGCTATCACACAGTAAAATCTCCATGCTAAAATGGCCCTCTATTTGGCACTTCCCTAGAAGGTGTTATATATGAACGTGTCGAGCAAATTTTGCTCTACAAAACCTGCTATGTGCCCAAATTCTGTGTTAGCGATATATGACAATGGACATTTTAGCATTATTTATACTGTTTTTATATAGTATTAGCTATATTTCGCATTAATTTTGTGAGATCGCTGATCGCTTCAATATTACAATTTATAGAGGATCTTTTGTTATCATAGTAAGGAAATCGACTATGTTCTGCATGATTTGAAACATGAAAATCGATTTCAAGGAACTCGATGTAAATGGTCACATCTACGATGGAATCACCCATTTACAAATTTTATTTATATTTATGTTGTCTTATTTATCATCCTATGTTTTTTTCCTATATTATAAGATATTAACATGAATATAATAAATTAATTTATGATGTACGAAAAACCTTCACTTCAAAAGTTACAGAGTTAAGGATATCATATAGTGTTAGATTCCGATTCTGATCATGATAGATTTGAACTTAATGCGTCTGAGTTGTCTATACTAGCTATAGAGTTCTCATCAACCCTGTAGTTGTGAGATAAAATTTTTATTATAGATGGCGTTGTAAAAATTTTTATTAGTAATATATATTCTGAAATTGTTTTCTTCTCAATTAATTTAAATTCTTTCTAATAGATAATTCGAATTTGGATAGAAAATACATTCTGTAATCGTTTAAAGCTGAAACCAAAAGTCGTAAGCACTATCGATGATTTATCTGCACTAGCGCGAAGAAATGTACGACATGAGACGTTAAATATTTGACAGGATTATTGAAAAAAAATTTCTAGTTTACCAGAAGTTTGTTCTGTTGTTTCTTCTGTTGCTATAATAAAAAAGAAAATTTTTTCTAAAAAAAAAAAAATTATTATTAACTTTTAACATACTATAACCACTGCCATCAACTGTTGATCCACTATTGACTATTTGTTTACTTAATATTTCATCATCAACTTTCAAGAAACTGTCAATTTCATCATTATCATAATTTGACTCGTTTGATACTCGTTTACCAAGATGATCAACTGTATAATCAATAATCGAAGAAATAGTATGATTTAAATTTTCCACTATTGTTTTAGTCTTACATGTTATTGATGAAATCTTATCTGATGTAGAAATTTTATTGATTACAATCAATGAAGTTGAACTAGATATTGTCGACGAAGATTGTTTATGATTATTAGACAATAACATAAATCCTTCATTAAGTGGATGGTTTTCCATCGTTTTATCATGTGATTTATAGTTATTTATTTTCGATGAAAGATCTTGAATAATATTAGGCCATGTCTGACTTGAGATTGATTCTGAAGATATTACAATAATATGGCTAAAAACTATAATAATAAGAAGTATATAAGAAAGTTTTAGAAAAAGAAAAGAAAAAGAAATGAATTACTTAAGATAAGTTTGATAATCATTGTTAAATATGATTTAACAAATAGTATAACTGAATTATGTCGATCAATTTTTTTTTTCTATAAATAATTCAAATTTTTTTTTTCTTTGATTAAGTTAAGGCGCAAGGTCTACAGGCCATATCGATCACATAGTGTATAGAAGTATTTGTACAGATTAGCATCACACGAATATATATAAATATATATTGTTAGTTCTTATATTTCGTTTTTTTTTTCATTTGTAGAAAGAAAAATAAAAAATAACTGTACTCAAAAAAGAAAAAACCTATATATATCATTGAAAAATCAATTCGGTTAAAAACGAATATTATGTTTAATAGGAAAAATCAAAGATATTTAATAGATAATTAATGAAAATCAAATTATTCATAGTATATGAATTATTATACATCGAAAACAAAAAATAACTCTAAAAATATATGGTTAAATATCTTATCTAATATATTAATTCATATTAAAAAAAAATTGATTAGTACTAACGAATAAATTATTACCATTGTATTGATATTCGCCTATTTACTTTCAATGTGAATCAATATATTGTAGAAAATAATCAAAATTTGATGCTTTATTTTTTTTTCTTTGTCGCTCTTCCACCTACAAGATTTCGTCATATCTTCTCTGGCCTCAGGTTTCTAAACCAATTTATCCTAAGTTTTAGATATCATATTATCATTAAAAGCTCAAAACATTCTTTTTCTTTATTGATATTATTTACTTTTCTTTTCTTTCACTTGGCTGAATAATCGTCGAAGTCATGAAAATCTCAAAATATGTCAATCTTTCATGTTTCTCAATGTGAATTACACCATTACAGATTACTAACAATAATAAAAAAAATAAAAAAGAACGATATGCTATAGAATAATACGTAGGATAATATTATTGACGACAAATATACAGCTTTTTTTACCGTTTTGGTATTATATTTATTAACACTCTTATCGTAATATGATATATGTGGTAGGCATATCGACATCATAGAATACGATGGACATACATGAGCTTCTTGCAATATAATTTACAAGACGGTGGTAGCAGGAGGATCATTATACAGTGAAGTCGGTTATTTCCTAAAACTTAAGTTTATTAGTTTCTCAATAGTCAGTTACCGAGATGAGTGTGGATGTTTAAAGGATTTTGGTTAGAATAATCACAGCTACTATCAAAACCGATAGTATATTTGCAATTCGTATAGGAAACTGAGTTGATTCATGTGTATTATAATTATGCTGATTCTAAATATATGATTTGTTTTGATAGGAAGCAGAGATGTTCATGCGATATTTTTTGATGTCTCATGGGCAGAATGTCAAAAAGGTTCCATGGGTGGAGTTCATGGAATAAACAAAAAAATAAAGAATAACAGCGAATACATAACCGTGTTAAAAGAGAAAATGCGTAGGCAGAACGTAAATTGATCTATGAGAGTTCCGAGTTCTGTTTTGAAAACTGAGTCCAGTGACTCATTCTTTTCGTAAGAATTGGATTCATTCCAACATACTTGTGCAGTTTAGTCACATAGCTTGGAAGGACTAAAATGAAATCTTTAGTGAAACTATAGTCATATCAATTAAAAGTAGAACTTAAATTTTGATTATTTTTGGAAAAATTTTATATATGTTGTTATTCATCCCCCATTTGATAGGTATTGTATCCATATATGATTGATGTAGGATTATATAGTATAGCTCCACTAGAGCTTATACTATTGACATCGTTTCATTAACCATGGGAAGAAAAGAAATAATATCAAATAAATAAAAATTGTCAGCCATTATATTGATTTGATTTTTATTTAGTCATGTTTCATTGCAAATAGAAGGATGTTAAACCAATAGAAACAGTATGTCATATACTACTATCCTACCGTATGAAATCAATTAATTTCTTATTTTTGTTATAACAGATTGAAAAAGAAAATAATCAAGTTATAATGGAACGAAAGTTAGCATTTACCCTATTAAAGTGTCTTCCTCAAAAAGAACTATAGTTCTCGTAAAAGGATAAATTATGGAATTTTCATATGGTTAGATAGAGCAGAAAAAGCGCTATCAAATGGCATAAAAAGACATTGGAAGTAAGCGTGTTACACTTTCCATTACTGTAACTTTCGCTGGCCAAGTAATAGAAAGAGTCTTAGTTATTGAAAAACTTCGACTAATTAACAGTAGTTTTATTACAAATGCAAGAAAATAGATATGTATATGTGATTTTGATATGTAAACTATATGATAGGGTACTATTGTTCGCGTTCTTGCTCCATTCGTTCTTATTCTTGATAATCATCTTCCATTTCACCGATAAAACCGTCAAACTCTAATGATGTATCGCTAAGAATATCACTTTGAAATGTAGACGAAGCAGTTACTGTTAATTTTTATATTGTATCACTTAAGTAACTATCTTCTACAATATATCTTTTCATAATTGAAAGACAATGATTGCTTTTTTTTTATTGCAAAGGTCTGCAATTAAACCAACATGTTTGTCAGCGTCACCATATAAACCATGTAATGTATCTTGACGCAATTTTCGTATGGAGTGACCAAGTTTGAATTTATCGGCTAGATAGTGTTTGACATAAGCCCATATCAATTCAATTGGTTGTAATTGCGGCATATCTAACCATATGAAAATTCCAAAATTTATCCTTTTACGAGAACTATAGTTCTTTTTGAGGAAGACACTTTAATAGGGTAAATTCTAACTTTCGTTCCATTATAACTTGATTATTTTCTTTTTCAATCTGTTATAACAAAAATAAGAAATTAATTGATTTCATACGGTAGGATAGTAGTATATGACATACTGTTTCTATTGGTTTAACATCCTTCTATTTGCAATGAAACATGACTAAATAAAAATCAAATCAATATAATGGCTGACAATTTTTATTTATTTGATATTATTTCTTTTCTTCCCATGGTTAATGAAACGATGTCAATAGTATAAGCTCTAGTGGAGCTATACTATATAATCCTACATCAATCATATATGGATACAATACCTATCAAATGGGGGATGAATAACAACATATATAAAATTTTTCCAAAAATAATCAAAATTTAAGTTCTACTTTTAATTGATATGACTATAGTTCTTTTGAAAAGAACTGGTAATCAAAATCGATGCTATTCTTCGATCAGGAACTCTAAATGTGTAACACGCTGTATTACTAATAAGGCAATGGGAAAATTACAATCTGGACATTAATCTTTTCATGAATTATAAAACTTTATTTAAGTCATGGAGTAAGAGAAATTATCACACCATGATCAAGACTATGAGTGGAGAAATGAATGAACAGAAGTTGACCTCTTTGAGGAAAGATGTTGGAGTGACATATCGCTCCATCCCCATTTGGGATATCGTCCTCATGAACATTTCTGATAGAAAGTGTGATTATTCTGACTAAAATCTATCGAGTATCAGTCAAAACAAAAAGCAAACTTTGGCAGCCATGAATATTATGCAGCTTTCATTTGATATAAAACTCATATTTAAGGAGCTAAGGAAGGGAAATAAACCTCTCATATAACCACTGAATAGCATAGCATTATAAAGGATCGCTCATATCGAGTTTTGAGTCAGCCGGAACGAGATCTAACTATCATCAACTTCTGCAATATCAATTGACAATTGTGAAAATCAGAAACTTGAATTTGAAAGGGGATCAATTTCGTCGCTTAATAAACCTCCTCCTCTAGGACACGTTCAAAATCCTCCTAAATAACCAAAAGAAAGAAACTTCACTATGTATATATTTATATCTAAAGAAATTTTCCTCTGAAGATCGAAATGTTAAGTAAAACTAAATTAAAAAAAAACCAATTAGGAAGTGAAAAGTCATTCTCAAATGTCAGTATTCTTCTTTAATCGAAAAGAAAATATTTAATTTTATCAAAGAATAAAATCCATTTACAATTGAATAAAGAATACATTTTTGAATTTTATTAAAATCATTGATTATTTGTTCATGCATATTTCTTTTTTTTTAAATAACATTTTGTGTGATATTTAATGTCTGCTGCTTTGCACCAACGAGTTACAAGGTCTATTTTTTTCAGAAGTTTTTACACTTTATTATAAATCTTAGTATTCATTTTAATATAATTTGAAAAGAATCAGGATGAAAGTAATGGTGTAAATGAGATCGAGAATGAGAGCTAGTCTACAATCAAAGCCAACTCTTCTGAACTTAGACTCTTTATTTTATTATTCCAATTGGAATATTTTACTTACTATTAAAAAATAAATTTCATGACTCCGAATTAATCTAATAAATCTGAAAAAACTAAATTTTGATAGTCCTTCTAATACATTGGACAATATTATGTTACCACTTATTTCAAGTTTTCGTCTGAAGAAATGTATTTATTGTTGTTTAGAAAGATTTAGAATTGTCACGTCTTTCTCTATAGCAGACTAGACATTTTCAATAAATATCATTTCGTAAATTGATATGATTTAGACGATGGGGCTATTGATCAATAAGACTTGTCATGAAATGACTGATTTTTTTTTCCTCATTTTTAAATCTTTTTATTGACTATTTATTAACTGGAAGCCGTGTGAGTTTATATCATAAGTAAAGAAAAAATCATATTCATTGAGAATAGAATAAATCAGAATATTTCTTTTGCAATTATTCGAGATAATAATACCAAGACAATGAATTTGTTTTGTAATATATCTATTGTCAGTTTTCCTCAAATCGTCATGAATAAATTATGAGGTATGTTTATATAATTAAATTTTTATTTATTTGCTAAAGAAATATATATATAGAAAGCAAAGTTG